AGCATAAGGAGGAGGAGGAGAAGAAGGAGAGGCTAGTATTGGTTTAGAAGAGGAGGAGGTAGGAGGAGGAGGGGGTAAGCGTTCAGAACTTGATATGTTGGGTACTGTCCCTCTTTGATGCATTGGGGCAGCTCCTGTTGAGCTCAGTCTTGACCTGTGATGGTGGTGGTGCATTGGTTGAGATGAAGTAGGATATACACTGGTGGTGGAGGCACGTGGTCTGTGAGCAGTAGTAGAGGAGGAGGAGGGATACTGTGACTGATAATGGTGGTGTGCTGGTGGTTCAACTATTATACAGTATTTGTTGAACTTGGTGATACTGATACAAAGATTGAGGTACATTTAGTACATACATACACACATACATATACATGCAAACACATACATTAGTTATTCAGAATAGAAGAAGTGGTTTAAGAACTAACAGTGTGATCATTTTCAATTCCTTTAATAGTTACTGCATCCATTAGGGGAGGATAGTCCCATTGAGGGATTTTTAAAATATAATCCAGCTGGAGGGATACACCACATCTGCCTTGAAGTGAGTCCATGTACATACACTTAACAAAAACAAACCCACCATACTCCTCTAACATTCTTAAGATAGTACAACTTGAGTAATTTACTGAAATTAAGATTCACACATTTATACTATTTAACTTTGTCATAGATATTAGAGACTACATAACCTAGGTCTATAATATTACTTAGGTTACATAGTCTATAATATCTATGGCTTTGTATTGTATCCTACTAATAATCCACTGTACTTAATTCATTGTATACTGTAGGTTAGTGATATACATAAAGCAGTTGATTCATTGAAAGGTAAAGTAAGAGCATTGAACCCTGAACCAAAGGTAAGACCCTAACCATCCTTTATAATTATACCATATATGGTCAATGATATCCTCAGATTGGTGCTCATGGTAAACCAGTTGTGTTCTTACATCCTAAGGATTGTGATGGAGTACTGGTTGAACTGGAACAAGAATAATGTACAACAATTGTAACTATGAATTTATATAAAAAGTAGCAAAATAATGTCTTTAGCAATAAAATGAATATAAGTCAAAAGAATTTTTACAGAGAAACGAATAATTAGTTGCTTTTTACCACATAGTAAGCTAATAATAATATTAGTGTTGCAAATAGCAATAATATTTAATTTTTAAGCAGTAAGTACAATATTACACACCAAATTGTGAAACTTACATGTAAGCTTGTATAATTATTAGCATATTTAATGTATGTACATTTTTATTTCACTAGTAAATGCATAACGGTATGGGTATGCCACTACATTCTTTGAATAAGGCTTGATCATACATTCCATTCCTGTTCTTTTGATTTCCAATTGCTGAAGTGATGAGAATGGTGTGCGGTAGAATAACTCCTCTATTGCTGTTGTATTATCATCAAATGACTCCTCAAGATATTTACACTCTATCCTCATTGTTTTGATGGTTCTGTGTGATCGTAGCATATTAAAGATATCAGGTAATGCTTGTTTGTAGAAAAAAGATTTCATTATTTTTTTTCGTCATTTTGAAAGTAATATGTCTGATCTAGTTGGAAGTGAATTTCAAGCTCTGTGATATTATGCTTTTGAAAGATGACAGTTAAAAATTCTTTTATTTCTTTGTTAGTAATGGGAAGGAAAACAGGTATACTCAACTGTTGTAGACCAGTGTTAAGCATGATACCAGTAGTTATGATAGACATATATGAACTGGCACTCATACACTTCTTATAATCAGTGTTGCTATGTACATAATCAGAGGAGTAGCAATGATGTCTACCAATACTGCAGATTGTATAAACACTTCCTTCCTTGACTTCCACCCTCAGAGCTCTAAGAGTAGTGTTGGTCTGTAAATTAGTAAAGAAGTCATTGATACTCTTAGCTGTGTCCAGTTGTAGAGTAAGTTGTTGTAGATTAGGATGAGATTTGAATATGAGACATGGTGAGTACGGCAAAGGTAGTATCAGACATTTTAATCCTTCGATACAAGGAAGAAGTGAGTTCATTAGTATACTACCACTTATTTCTAGAGCAGTCAATCTTGACATTTCTTTTACTTCATTCACTGATAATGAAATGCAATGATTGGGTATGTTCATTGAAAGAGCTTGTAATGTGCTATTTTCTTTCAGTAAGCTCTCTAACATGCTGCCAGTTACAAGATGATTACTACGGATAGAATCAATCTGTTCTAATGTGAATGATGTTATCATTCTGTTTTGAGTAATTCCTCTTATAAGACTGGTTATAAATAGTTCAAGTAGTTTGCACTTAGTGTTAATGGTTTGAATAATAATAAGCTCTTGTACTTTTAAATTTCGTTTGATACATTGTTCAAGTTCAGTACACTTACTTGCATAGGATGTCTCATCAAGATCAGTGTCAAATGTGCATGTAAGGTGCAGCATCTTAAGTTGAGGAAGGTTGAATAACTGCATTAACACAAGGCCCGTATCACACTGAGAACACTTAAATATTAACTGTTGAATATTCTGTAATAATGGCTTGTTAAGAAAATTTAGTGCTAAAGTAGCATTACTATTTCCTTGAAGATGCAAAATCATTTTTGTGCATTGACTCTGAGATGTGCCACTTAATCCAGTTTTAAAAACAGATAATGATTGCTCCCTTACTTTCCCTAAATCTAATTGATTCCATTTTATGCCACTGCTACTTATGAAATAACCAAGGCACAACCAGTCAAACAATCCAAGTTTTATAAAATCAACCTGTCTGTCACTGTTGCACATAAGGCACAGTGAGTTACCTTTCATAGATTGTGCAAATAATTGGCACAATTCAGTGTTTTGAGATTCATAAAGGAGTTGAAGAAGGAGAACCTCCAGATCCTCTAAATTAATAATTCTTATTTGGTAGTCATAATCAAGTATACCGGTATCAGAATTAAGATATTTATAAAACCAATGATTATGACTGGTTTCAAATTTTCTGAGTGGATTTTTTTTACATTGTAAATCAATTCCTCTATTAAAATACTGTTGATAGCTCTCATGTTCAAGATGAGTTAGACCAGCTACAAACCTCAGACACATTTTAAAGTGCTCATTGTGAAAATAGTTATTAAATTTTGTTTCAGTGTTATCATACTTGACTATCCACCATGCAGCTAAAAACTCCTGAATACTTAAGTGAAGGAACTGATACTTCTCTTCATCGCATTCTCTAAATTTTGTCAGCAATCCAAGATAGTCTTCCTTAGCTGCTTCAGTCAGAAACTGGTTTGATTGTTGTAATGAAAATGTCAGTCTTGTAGCAGCAAGATTAGTGTAAGCTAATTGACACAGGTTTTTGAAAAGAGAAGGTAGCTCTAATGGTAAATCATCAAGGCTGACTATGTATCGAGTATCAGCCTCAGGTTGTTTCCTCTTTATGTCTTTTTTAATAGTTTGCAAGATGAAGTTCTCATATAATTGGGTGAGTGTTGTCGGTAACTGTCCTCCCTCTTTCCAATAGACTAAGATAACCATTGAGCAAACCATAGGAATGTAACACAAAGACTGTACATCACCTCGTACTTTGAGGTCATTAACAAGTTTTACTGCTAGTTGTGAGTTCTTACTATTTTGAGTAGTTTTGAAAAAAGAATTTAAAATTGAGTTGCATTTATTTTCATCAATGAGATTGTCAGCTAATGTTGGATCATTCTGAAGAGTTTTTATAACTACTGTTGATATTTCTTCCACTGAGAACCCAATAATCTGAATGTATCTATTGATAGAAGGTAATGCTGAAAGTGATGCTGAGGCATAGCTACGAGAAGTCACTACTACTGAACAAAAAGCTAGCATTTCATTACGAATGATAGAAGCAGCCAGTGATGATTTTTTGAGTTTATCACTAAGTTCATCCCAACCATCAAAAATTATGAATACTCCCTTTCCTTCATTCTCTGACATCCACTCAACTACTTTTCTTTCTCTATCAGAGGTAGTTCTATATACAAATAAATCCTTTAATTCCTTAGCCTTAGCTACCTTGATATTTCTCAAAGGACAGAAGAGCACTAAATCATACTGGCAGTCAAATACTTCATTTGACCACATATTCAACAACTTTCGGCAGAGTGTTGTTTTACCTATCCCAGGAGGGCCATCTACCAATATTTTAGGAATCTGAGAGCTTCCAATTTTTAATAAGTTTTCAATTTTTATTGTACCTTTGCTCCCAAGAGTGTTAGGAATTTCATCAATTTGACCTCTTAGCATGTGCCAATTCCTCTGATCTGCAGTTTTCTTATCCAAGTCTTGGCCTTCTATTAATGTCAATCTACCAAAAAAATCTTTTCCAACTCGTGGTGGCCATTCTGTAGCTACAATTGGCTGATCCTTGTACTTTTGCTTCAGAGCATCAGCATATTTCTGAACGTCATCAGGTGGAAGAATGATTGTGATATTATGATCATCAGGTATAGATTCACCTAAAATTAATTAGGGTATTAAACTTATTACATACACTCACTCACCTAGCTGATTTAAAATAGGGACAGTAATTTCCGTTAGTACATCAAGTTTTTGACTTAATAATATATAACAAACATTGATCAAATATTGTTCTGGATTAAGAGATGCTTTCAATAATGTTTCCAATGTAATGAGTAGCCTCCCAGCCTTCTTTTCATTAGTTTCTCCTTTAAAATACATTTCCCTTTTGGTATCCAGTGGTATAAGCCTTTTAGCATGTAGTAAATCAGTTACTGTGTATAAAGTAGTTGAAATGGGTTGAGTGAGCTCAGCAGAGGCAGAACATAATAAACTGGGTGCATCTGGTTTATCTATACATGAAGTAATATTAATCCAAGGGTGATATAACTTAGGCCATTCAAATTTTACCTGTTTCAGGACCAGGATTGAGTTCCACATCTCCTGACAAGAGGATCAAGAGGAAGTAGAAATACAAATGAAATGAAACTGTGAACAAGTTAAAACTACCAACAATACTAGCTCCCACATAAAGCTGAAGCCAGCCTGAGATATCATCATCAACAAGCAATTGGAAAGAGATACAGTGACCTATTAAGAATAGGGAC